TATATAAAGTGTTTTTCCCACGGCACACCTTACACTATGTCACGGCACACTAGTGTGCCGCGGCACAGTGGTTGAAAAACACTGCTCTAATATATGTATAAATGTGCCAGGATAAGTAAATATGAAAGAACCAATATAGCTTGAATATCATTTCGCATAAACCCAAATACTTATCCCTTATTAACCTAATGTACTGTAAACCTGGGAGTAACTACTGTTCTGATCCAGTGCAACAGTGATTCATAGTAACTAAGTACCAGATTGAAGTTTGTATTTAACAGAATATCATCACACTGACTTAATTGTCAAAAGGTTGGCATCAACATTAATTGCAGTTAAGATTAGCCAAGGAGACTCTGAAATTCTCATCCCATAATTTTAATTTAAACTTTGTTGGTTATAATGTACGTAGTTTACATCTTGAATTAAGGCAGGAGAAGGGGATTATTGTGAGAAAACAGCATGTTCTTGCAGCTCAACTCCTGATTGTAAGTAAAAAAATAAAACTGGATAAGAGAAATAAGGAGAACTAGCATTATATGTGCAGCTGGAGGGTAGTTGGATTTGAACTCTGTATTTCAGAGTTTTAGTTTGGAGTTTGAAAGAAAACACAATGTTTTAGTTTCATGCTCTTAAGTGCTCATGCGTGGGAAGCAATGGGCACCCAAAATAAATTCCTGCTCCTTCATTTTCTATAGCCTCCAGATAAATGTTATAGAAGATGTAGACCCTACTGAGAGCTTCTATCACTCAAACCAATGGAAGAAACGGTCAAGGGTTGTTGTTTTCTTATAGTGTTTTAAAGAATGGCCTTTAGAAGCAGTTATATTGCTTCAAACCTAATAGCCATTAAGCCCCATCATTTCTATAAACTGAAGCCATTTGTAGGCTACCCCTTGGGATGGGTTACTATAATGTAGTCAAATGTGGTTCCAAAGGATTAATGCTGACAGCATTAAATTGGGTCATTTTAGAAGCATTTTTTCCTTATGATTTAGTCTTTTTTGTTATAGCAAGTCAAGCAGAGAATAAAAGAAAAGTGAATGTGATAAGTTCATGGCAATCTCCTCCGTGTGAAGAAGATTGGGACAAAGGTGAGAATTGTGTAGTTGATAGAATACTGCAAGTTTGAGCCTTCCCTTTCTCTTTTTGAATGATATTTAATATGAAAAGATACTCCTGTCAAACCCCTGTTCTTGCATTATTTTGTGTGCTGTGCTATTATTATCCTTGGCTAAGCAGAAATTAGAACATTTTACAACTTAAGGTTATGCATTCACATGTAGTATCATTATATTTCTGCATTGCTTCCTTTGATACCAAACCATAGATTAGTTTTATCCTTAATAAAAAACAGAACTTATTTTCTTTGCCATAAGTAAAAACTGATATTTTTGTGCAATAATAGATATAGAAGACCAATCAAACACTACCTTCGTTTGGGGCACAAACCGCTATGCAGTGAACAGGTAAGTTGTATTTTCTTTCCATTCTTAAACTTAACATCATTCTCTTAACTCCTGTGCATTCCTGTTTTCTCTAAACAGAGACATTCTTTTAGGAATTTTTATTGAAAGGTTTTGCTATACCATTAGAAACATTATGGCTTATTGCTGACCTTTAAGAAAGCTATTACTTTATTCTTTGGTGTACTGTTACAGACAGTCTTCAACTTATAACCATTTGCTTACCGACAGTTTGAATTAACGATGGCCTCAGAAAGGATAAAGCACTTCCAACCAATGCAAAATATCACACATGCGCACCGCAGTCATGTGATCACAATCTGGGCACTTTGTAATCTGTTCACACGACTGACTGGTTGCAAAGCTAGCATTGGGGGAACGAAGGATTGCAAAGTAAGCAAAACCAGCAGGTTTTCTACTTAGCTTCCCCAGCATTACCAACTGCATTTCTTCTTCCTTCACCACTCCACTCCCCCAATAACCCACCCCCAATGGCTTAAGTGGGACTTATTTTTGGATAGGGCTTATATTATGAGCATCCTGAAAAATCATGCTAGGGCTTATTTTCAGGGAAACATGATACTGGCCTCCTGTGACTGCTTTTTCAACCTGGTGCCTTGTGATGGAACTCAAGAGAAGTTTAAAGCTTCCATCATTCACATTTTATATGAATTACGTATATCCTTGTCATTGAGTTTCCCAGTTGTTGGGTGAAATTTACGCTTGATAGAATTACCAGATAGGCAAATCCAGTTTTAGACCATTGGCCCTGAAAACTATAGCAATGTAGTAATTATAATCAAGATCCACCTTTAATGACACCGCTAGAAAGGTGTCCGCTAATTGAAATTTACTAACTGCATTAAGGTAAAATCAAAAGGTGTGGGTGTATTTAGCTACCTTATAGCTTTATTCCAGAGATGTGGGCTAGAATAAAGTAGCATTAATTAACCAACTTAAAGAGGGCTTTTCTAATGAACTGCATAATGAGTTGGTTTGATAGGACATTTCATGTACCTTAGCATAGCTAATGCAGGTACCATGTTTCCCCGAAAACAAGACCCAATCTTATATTTTGGGGGGGCTCCAAAATAAGCACTATGACTTATTTTGGGGAAAACATGATTTCAGGTTAATCAGCCCGGCTGGGCACCCTACCCCGGCACGGGCACAAAAAGTGGCGAATGCTGGGGGCTGACATTGTCCAGCAGCAGCTGCAGCCTGCTGGCCCTTTGGTCAGCACACTCGGGTTGCGCAGCCGGTGCAGCGCAGGTTAGTTGACTACCTTTCCAAGCAGCGGAGAGCAACAGAGCCGTGGGGGTGGCAGGCGATCTGGAAATGCCACGTGGGCTGCAGAAAGCCAAGAGTCGGTGGGCCAGAGCGGGCAGACAGCCATGGAAGGGTCATTTTTGTGCAGTAGACTGAGGCTGACAGATGTAGGATAAGAAGGAGGGAAGATTAGGTATGTATGTATGTATGTATACATACATACATATATACATATACATATACATATACATATACATATACATATACATATATATATAAAGTCCCTTTATTTATCAGCATAAATATAACATACATTTGATTTGATTTATTTATCAGAATAAATATAACAAATGTAACAAAAAAGGCAACAGTAAAAAATATTGGGTTTCTGTCTGTATGGTCTCT